GCATTTCAGACATGGAAAGCCAAGACATTGTGGCAAAAAGTGTTCTTTTTGAAATGAAAAAAAGGACCATTTGACGGTGTGGCAAAAAGGACCTCGGTGGTTGAGACCCCAGTGGAAAGAAGTGGCCACCAAAGAAGGATGTACTTTTCTCTGAAGGGAGGAGAGAACTTTCACTTTGCTTGTGGCCTTGTCAAGTTTGTGGATCCAAAAGGCTTCCATAGCCTAGGCAGCTCCTGTCAAGAGCCTTGAGGGAATCACTGATGTCATTTAAGAGTGTTAATTGTTAAGTAAACAACAAGAGTCACTGTGCACTAACTTCCCATGCAGGGCCTCTGTCGTCAAAGAGTTGTATCACTTCCTTTTATTGTATTAAGTGGAGGATATTTTTTATGTCTCATAAGTTACAGTTATGTCTAAGAGCTCACAAAAAGTTTATCATTCTTGGGTTCTTCTTTAAAGATAATTAAGTTTCTGAAAGGAAAGAAGGGGAGGAAGTAATGGAAAAGGGGAAGGGGAAAAAAGTGAAATCACCGTCAAGATGTAATAGCTTTGAACAGCCCTTGTCTGGACTGTTGAGGAACAGTTTTTGTTGTTTTTTCTTTCTTTTTCTTTCTCATACAAAGCATTGAACTCTTTAACTAGAATAGAGTTGATCCTCTCTATATAAAGTTAAATGAAAATAGATCTTAGTGAAAAACAGGACAGAAAACAGGAGAAGGAAGTGGTAGAGAGGTGGGAGAGTAGGTGGGAGGGCTGGTATAGTGGGAAGAATTACTATGTTCCTAATGCTATATTTATGAAATGCATGCAAATAAATAAAAATGTAATGAATATAAACCTAATTTTATATCAAATATGTGTTTTTTCATTTCAATTTATATCAAAAATATTTATTATTCCCATATATTTCTTTGAATCTGATTTTCAGCAAGCTGATTGTAATGAGATATGTCTGGACAACTGGAGAAATGTGAATAGGGACTGAATATTAAATGAGAATAAGAAGTTGTTCATTTTGATAGATATACTAAAAATACATTTTTTAAAGAAAAATATTTTTCACCAGTGAAGCCAACATCTCTCAACTTTTGACTTTGAACCAGATAAGTCTTCATGTTGGGGCTCTCCTTCCCGTGGGACACTGAGCAGCATCCTTGTCCTCTACCTATTAGCCATCAGCAACACCACTCCCTACCAAATTGTGAGAATCCAAACTGTCTCCAGACATTGTCAAATATCCCCTGCTTTGGAATCACTGAATTAGATACATGGAGAAGTGCATGAATGTCTGGGATTGGGTTTCAAATAGTCTAGAAAAAAAAATTGGATGGGTAAATGAAACTTGAATAGCCTACTTTTTAGTTTAGTTGAAGTAAAGTAATGAATATGTAGGAAATAATAAGATTACTGAGTGTGTGTTTGATTTTTAACAATCTGTTAATAAACCCTAATGCAAGATTGCCAAACACTTCTTTTCAATTCCTCCTCTCAAAACTACTTCACTAATTTCCCCATCAGCCCCTCACAGACAAACCTCTCAATGCTGGAAGCAACTTTTCCAGTGTCTCTACCTGGCATCAAAGCTAAATATTGAACCCTACTTTGCTAAACCATGTTGGCAAAACCTGAAAGCACAAAATATCAGAGTACTTTATAAAGGACATGGAAAAATGAAATAAAAAAACTATGCTTGGGGACAGCAAGGCATAGTGGGTAAAGCTGCCGCCTGCAGTGTTGGCATCCAGTATGAACACTGGTTCGAGTCCTGGCTGCTCCACTTCTGATCCAGCTGTCTGTTCTGGCCTGGGAAAGGAGTGGAAGATGGTCCAAGTGCTTAGGCCCCTGCACCCATGTGGGAGACCTGGAAGAAACTCCTGGCTCCTGGCTTTGGATCGGCGTAGCTCCTGCTGTTGCAGCCAGTTGGGGAGTGAGCCAGCAGATGGAAGACCTCTCTATCTCTCTCTGCATCTCCTATCTCTGTGTAACTCTGACTTTCAACTAAATAAATAAATCTTTTTAAAAAAAGGTAGGCTTGTTTTGATGCCAAAAATATTCAAATCCATGCATAGCTTTTTTCATAATACACATTTTTCACATAGTCTTTGAAGATCATTCATATGCATGGACTTCAAAGCTTTTTGTGCCAAAAAAAAATCTTTTACCTCCACTTCCTTTGGGGCCAGTATTATGGCACAGTGGGTTAATCTACCACTTGCAGTATCTTATATCAGAGCCATTTCAAGTCCCAGCTGATACACTTCTGATCCTGCTTTCTGCTGATGTGCCTAGAAATGAAGCCAGAAATGACCCAGTACTTGAGCCCCTGCCACCTAGTAGAAAACCTGGTTGAAATTCCTGGCACCTGACTTCAGCATGGCGCAGCCTGGAATGAACCAGCATATGGAAGACTTTCTCTCTCTCTCTCTCTCTCTCTCTCTCTCTCTGTCTCTCTCTCTCTCTCTTTATATATATATATATATATTTCAAAAAATAGATTTTAAAAAATTACATTTTCCAAAAACATTTTGAAGTACCCTCATATTAGCTAAAGCAGAGTTGACATTCGCAATAAATGTAGTAATATTTAGAAGTTCTCCCAAACCCCTATCAATACCACTGCTAATGAAGAAAACAATTTTCCCCTACTGCTTATCTTCACTAGAGAATGGATTTGTATGTAACATGGATGAATGAATTTCAGGGCCTTGAGTTTAACTTAAAGGTTGTACAAAACCGTAAAATTTCACCATTATAATCTCATCCCTTTATCTTCCTGATTAAATCCATGCTAAAAATGCAAAGGTGTGAGAACTATAGATATTGGAGCTGTCATTCAGAGCATACAGAAATAGAAGAGCAAATGAAAACTGAAAGGAAAATAAGAAAATAATTGATGACCTCCAATTACTGTGGTGCACAAGAGGGACATGGTTTACAGGGAGAAGACTGGCTACCAAAAAAGTGAAACTGGAAAATTAGAAACTTTTTCAATTGTTTCCAATTATGGTTTAAGGGTTCATTCCAAGCCATAGTCATTGAACTGAGTTAGTCCAAGTTGCTAAATGGGGATATGAAATAAGTGTGAAACACAGCCTATGTTGATAATACCTGTAATTCAGGTGGAGGGAGAAAAAATGATGAGTGAAACAATTGGGCACAATTAATTGTGAAAATGGATGTCAGTGATTCCACATGAGAAGTGGTTGAACCATAAGACTTGCTCTAAGACACTCTGAAAAAAAAAAAAAAAAAAACCTAAATGAAATATTTCTGTGAGTGAGACCCCAGTGGAAAGAGCAGGCCATCAAAGAAGGAGGTACCTTTCTCTGAAGGGAGGAGAGAACTTCCACTTTGACTATGACCCTGTCTAAATAAGATCTGAGTTGGCGAACTCAAAAGGCTTCCATAGCCTTGGCAACTCATGACAAAAGCCTAGGGTGATTACCGATGCCATAAACAAGAGTATCAATTATTAAGTCAACAGGAGTCACTGTGCACTTACCCCCCATGTAGGATCTCTGTATTTAATGTGTTGTTCAATGTGAATTAATGCTATAACTAGTACTCAAACAGTACTTTACACTTTGTGTTTCTGTGTGGCTGCAAACTGTTGAAATCTTTACTTAATATATACTAAATTGATGTCCTGTATATATTGAAAATGAATCTTGATGTGAATGAAAGGGGAGAGGGAGTGGGAGATGGGAGGGTTGTGGGTGGGATGGAAGTTATGAGTGGGAAAAAGCCATTGTAATCCAAAAGCTGTACTTTGGAAATTTATATTTATTAAATAAAAGTTTTAAAAAAAACTTGCTCTAAATGGGATGAGAAAGCAAAATGGAAGTCTGCACAAAAGTGGAGATCTGCACAAAGAACACACAATTTCAAATGAACCTTCAAAGATGAGAAGGATTTGGATCAGCTAAGACTTTCATGCAAGAGGAACAGTGAGAGCTAAAGTATTCAGTATGTGTTCATGCCAGCTATGCTGCAGGTACTGTCTTGAAGTTGTGAGAAGTGCAAGCCAGGGCCCTTACATTCTGAAGGCTCACTGCTAAGCATAGGATGAGAAGGTGTGGAAATAAGGGTGACTGGAGATCAGAATGTGTGTCAGTCAAGGCCCTCCAGGGAACCAGACTCAGTGAGATGTATGTATGTACAGCGATACAGAAAGAGACAGAGAGAGAGAGAGAGAGAGAGAGAGAGAGAGGATGTTTTTAAGAAATGGACTCATGCAATTATGAGAACTGGCAGGTTCAAAATGTGCAGGTCCGGCTGGCAGGCTTGGAAATCCAGGGAAAACCTGAACTTACATCTCAACTCCACAGGCAGTCTGGAAGTAGAATTCCTTCTTCCCCAGGAAACTTCAATCATTTCTCTTAAGGCTTTTAACTAATCCGATGAGACCCACACACATTATGAAGGGCTATCTGTTTTACTAAAGGCCTAATTATTTCATCTTCTGAAAAAATGCCTTCATAGCGATATTTAAACTAGTGTTTGACCAAGTATCTTGGTACCATGGCCACCCCATGTTAACACGTTAACTTAACCACCACTGGACGAGATGTATGCAAAGGACATAGGTGGATGGTCAGGTGATATGAAAGCCAGACTAGGCTAGTTCTTGAGCAGTCAACCAAAAGTGTGCTGTAAGAAGATTAGTCTAATGATATATCTAGTGGTTTGGAAACAATACCACCCTGTCATTTTTGCCCTTGAGACAGCCAATAGCAGTTCTCCACATGACCCCCCAAGTGCTGTGTGGCTGGCCGTCTCTCCCAGCAGAGCCATCCTGTACTGTTATAGCCATGCCTGATCGCCACATCCTAATCTGAAAAGTGGGAAGTTCCAGGTTTCTAGCTTTCCTGTGGCTGCAGCTACACAGCACCAAGCACACCCAAAAGCTATTTCACTGTTCAAAAGGACAGACTGATTAGGAAGGATATTTCACTTTCAGTTTTGAAGTTCTTTAAAGCCATTTATATTTTCTGTTTTAGGTCGAAATAAGTAATGACATTGACTCTGAAATGCGGCTGCTGAACTTGAATTAGGGAGCAAAGCACCGTTGACAGCTGGCACCTCACAGCGGTGGATCAACCTGTGTCCCATTCCTTTCGGAGGATGGACTGTGCCTCCCTGCCTTTCCACGGATCACAGAGTTCTTCGATCACAGCCTGTGTATTATTAGCATTGTTCACTAGATGAGTTCTAGGTGCTTGGGTGGGTATTTTTTAAATCATTTTCTTCTTATATGAACACTTGTAAATTGTAAAAAAAATAGTTTTTAATTTTTTAACAATATTTAATGTGAGGCATGCAAAATGAAACAGAAAAATCCATAAAAAAAAACATTTTACAGTCAATTCTAAGAGAAACATTGCCTGTGCTGTGGAAGTGTTAAATCAGTATTGCTGACCATGAGGCAGGGCTAAGCCTCAAAGATTTGTGTTAGCAAACATTGTCTGTGGTCATCAAACGTAAGGTAGACGCAGCAACAGCCGACACATGGGTACAAACAATGGACTGGACTTTCAGACTGAATGTGGAGCACTGTCAACATCACAAGACAAAACTTGGAGTCATTCTTTATTTTCAACTTCCCAAAACCCAGAAAAATACTATGGCAATCGAAATTTTCAGATTTGTGCATGGCATCCTCCTTCTCTGTATTTTGAAAACTAAATATATACAAATATGTCATGGGTGCATAAAAGAGTGAAATGATTAGTAGAACCCTTTTCCCTTTAGAGGAAACACGAGTGTCTCTGAGGTCCATATTTTCTACTCTTTATCCCACTCCTGACACTGATGTCAACCCTAAACATACAGCCCATGGGCTTGTGGGAAAAACCACAACCATAAATATGAATTCAGGAACTTTGCTCTTAGGATTTTCAAAAGTAGCATTAAAATACTGTGGCATTCTCTATAAATACTTCTAAGGAGAATGTTTATGTTGAAGCTACATCAACTTTTCTTTTTTCTATCCCATCTCAATAACACAGAAAGTGATATGGGAAACATAATTTTCTGTCAAAACATGGACTATCATGAAAACACACCAGTTTTTTTTCTTTAAGTTGACATGTGCTAAAATACATAATTATTAGAACTAAACCTGGCAAGTTTTGAAAAATATCTATCTCCATGTAACCAATGCCTCAATCAAAATATAGATTTCTATCACTCTAGAAAATTTCCTCCTGTTCCATTTCAATTTTCAAAGACAAATATTGTGCTGGTTTTTTCAACATTAATTAATTTTTCCCTCAATATAAAATACATACTCTTTTTGCATCATTTTTTCCTATGTTTCCCAGTCACTATTTCTTACACAAAAATAAATTTTGCTCACTTTGTATGACAACAAAAACAAAGCGTCCAGTGGGTCACAAAGTTGTGCCTAGTGCACTTTGGTACTTGATTCCTGCATCCCTAAGGAGCCAATCCATAAACCACTGAAAATTAAGCAAATTTTTGTAGGTGTGTAGATGTCCTTTTTTCTTCTACTTTTTAGAGCCCATAGATTTCCTGAAATTCTAGTCAGAACTTGATGCAGCGAAGCTTGCCCTGATTTCCCAAGTTTATGCCAACCTCAGTGGGCCTCCTGGACTCCTGCTTTACTTCCTTGTCTCTGGATTCTACTGCTTGGTCAGTTGACACCCACTAACTCTCGTCACTCCACATCCTACTGAGTAAAGCCAGCTTCGCAGGAGCAGCTGGCAGGGGTCTCCGAGACGGTGAAAGGCGAGCTGCCACTCTGAAGGCGAGGGAGTTGAAGCCTAGGGGTTTTGGTGGACCTGCCCAGAGCTCTGCATTTGTACAGAGGTGTAAGATCTATGGGTGAAGGAACAGAACGTGGAGGGCAGAAGTTGGTATTTGGGGCCATGTCCACTGCTGCGCTTTTAGATGGTGTTTGACATCTCAGCACTGGACTTTTTCTTATCTGTGAAGTGGAATTATGGTTCCTACCTCCAAAGATAAGGTGAGGATGTGAGGAAGACAAATGCAAAAAGTATTTTGTAAGCTTGAAGATCACTGCAGATTGAAAGAGGCAATTATTAGTTATTTTGGAACAGTAGGACCCTGACTGGAGCTCCTTTACCCATTCAAGTGCCATGAAAAGCCCACGGAAAGAACAAATTCACTTGTCTTTAACTGATTTGAAATCACGCATGCCAGAAATCACACTTTTAACTAAAAAAAAAAAAACTTTTACATTCAAATGTCATTAATTTATACATATTATTATTACTATTGAAAAAGTCAATGAAATATGAAAAATGTAGAAAATCAGCAAGATAGAAAGATAAGATTCACATTAAGTATTCTAAATTGTCACTTCATTGCTTGCACACATGCACATACACACACAAATGAAAAGATGATCCACTCTTCATAAAATAGTATCATCCAAATGTTTCTATTTTATCTTCATGTGAATTTGTGTACACATGTAAGATGCACTACAGGCGCCTAGACCTTGTCCAACTGCAGGTAGCAGATTCAAGAAAGAAATCCTTACATAAGTAATTTTTTATGAATATTCATAAATACAATACTTAATACAATAAATTTGTTTTCATTTTAATCTTTCTTCGCTTAAAAAGTGACGATATAACTGTTTAAACCTGCAACGCCAGCACTGATTGTTCTGAAGTTTTAGAAAATTTGCCACTGGTCAGAAACAAGTTATACTGATCTTTCATCTCTTTTCTTTCTCTTCTTCCTGCCTATGTTCACTTTGGCCACTCTTTAAGAGGCTCTGCTCATTTAAGACAAAAGGGTAAAATATTATATACAGTCATTCACCGTATACCCAGGTGTTACATTGATCCGGACAGCTCCACAGCAGCATTGTCATGGTTGCTGCTCCAGAGCAGTAAACTAGTCTTATTTGCTCTTTTGCCTCCGATTTTAGAGAATCTACTCTGCACTTGGCATGTCATCAGAGTTTTCAACAAGGACATGTTCACTATACACATGTTCTTGACACATCTTGACTTCCCCATAAGCAATCATGTGTCTGGATAGAGTAAGGGGAAATATACACATATCTTAGCCTGTACTCATTTGCCAGAATCTTATCATCTTAAGAGATAGAACAGCCCCATGTTCAAGAGTTCAGAAGTGGCCCTGGTAAATCTGAAGATAGGATAGAGGACATTCACTTACCTTTAGCCTCTAGTGCTAGCTGGAATGTAGAAAAGAAAATTTAAAGCCAATGCTTTTTTTTTTTTTTTTTCTGAGCCACCTTGGCACTGAGCCTTATAAACTTTGGCCAAGTCTTCCCCAAGCTGTGCTCTATCTTATGGGAATGGCTTTTCCTTCCTTAACTGTCTTCTGCTGATATTGTGTGGCTCCACAGGAAGCTGGAATGCTTTCTAGTTCACCTTATACCTATGGGAGCTTCTAGTCATGTTTCAAAGCCAACAAAATTTAGAAAGGGGTGTTACAAGGAGAACTAGAGAAATACCAGCAGGCAGAGAATGTCTTGAGGTGTGAAACAGTCCAAATCATAAAAATCTGATTTTCTCTTAGGAAAATCACTAAATAAGTATCCCCCTAAGTATTTTAGTCTTGCACCTGCCGTATGATGTGGAGTAGGTTAGAAAAACATTATATCTATACCCCCACTCTAAACCTGGGAAGTGGTGGGCTCATTTGTTTTGAAGACAACATGACATCTTGCCCTAGCAAACTACTGACTTGTTTCTTTTTTTCCTTCAGAAAAATAACCACTTCTATTCCTATAAACCTAAATAAGGTAGTCAGCCTGCTTCAAAAAATGGCCTGGCTGCCATCTGTCTCACTTAATGAATGGGACACTCCACATTGAGAGGAATTTGTCTTCATTAGAACTAGCTAAAATGCACATTGCAAAGCTGAGGAAAACCATCATGACTCTTGACTAAATTGAGAAGCAAATAAAAACCAAAGTTACTCTTTTCAATCTTTGCAAATCAGAAAGGAATCTTGCTGAGAATAAACAGATCTTTATTTTATACTTAATTTAAAAATTGACGATGTCCCAAGATGTGGACTCACTATGGAATGAACATTCTGACTGGTTATTTTTGAGAGTCAATGCTCGCCATTTCTGAGTTATTTTTATAAGTAACTAGAGGAAATTTTATAGTTGATTAAAATACAAATGATCTAACTTGGGCATTTGAGCCCATGGTTGTATCTGCCTTCTTTCAAGGGGTAGCTGAATAAGTAGGAATAAATTCAAATAGTTGCTGTTTTAAAACTCAGAATCCTGGCCGGCGACGCGGCTCACTAGGCTAATCCTCTGCCTGCGGCACCGGCACTCGTTTCTAGTCCCGGTCGGGGCGCCGGTTCTGTCCCGGTTGCTCCTCTTCCAGGCCAGCTCTCTGTTGTGGCCCAGGAAGGCAGTGGAGGGTGGCCCAAGTGATTGGGCCCTGCACCTGCATGGGAGACCAGGAGGAAGTACCTGGCTCCTGGCTTCAGATCAACGCAGCGCGCCGGCCATAGCAGCCATTTGAGGGGGTGAACCAAAGGAAGGAAGACCTTTCTCTCTCTGTCTCTCTCTCTCTCACTGTCAAACTCTACCTGTCCAAAAAAAAAAAAAAATCTAAAAAAAAAAATCAGAATCCTTGCATGCTTAAATTTTTAAAAAATGTTTCTTCCAACTTAAGAGTGATCTGTAACCTTTGATAGAAGGTCTGTTGAAGTATCCAAGAGCCGTGTTCAAATATTTGTGACAAATAGGCTCACAACTTAAGGATGCTATGCCCAAAAGTAGATCTGATAGAGGTAATTACTTCTCATGTTTGTGTATAGAGTGTGAGTTAGAAAGGGAGCAGATGTGTTTTACATTTCAGAAGAATATATAACTGGATCTCTAGCTCCTTCACAGTATATGCTATAATAGTATTCTCAAAAAAAGAGAATGATCAAAAAATTCCACCAAAAAAAGAAACTTAGTAAGAAAAAAAATCATTTCTTCTGCCTTGGGGGGTAACAAAAAATTAGTTTATTGAAGGCTAAGAAAAAAAAAACTATTTACAGAAATCAGATAAAGCTTTTTAAATACTAGTATTTGCAAAACATTGGTGACAAGTAAAAAATGAATCATCTTTCTTGAACTTGCATTCATATAAAGGGAAAGAATCATGTTAAGGGCTACACATTTTTTAAAATGAAATATATAAGGAATCCATAATGTGTTTTTCTTAAATTAAGTTAAATTAAAAAGGGAAAAAATAGAAGGCAGGAACAGAGGAAAGAACAAAAAATTCAAAATTAAAAGTCTACCTAATCTGGATTTAGACAGTACCAATTATTAACTCAAAATTTTTGTTCTTGTTTCTTTGATTGACTAAAAGCATTAAATCATTTTCCACTTTAGTGTATGCTTTTTCTTTCCTCCTCAGTGTTGTTAAGAAATGACTTGAAGAAAACAAAAACTTATCTGGTCTCCCCACAGAATTTTCTTTGGCAGAAACCTTGCCTGCCCATATTAGTTTGGTTTAGGTTTACCCAAAAACAATAGAAGAAACGTGATCATGGCTTAAATAAAGTAGAGGTCTATTTCTCATCGCATTTCAAAGTTCCAGAGTCAATCATCAAAAAGCTGCATGTGAGTTCATTAGAAATAGGGACCCAGGCTCCTTCTCTCTTGTGCTCCATCCTACGTGGCCGATATTCTCAAGATCATAATATGACTCAAAGCGGCTGCTGGGACCCCAGTCGTTGCTTTTATACTCCAGCCAAGGAGGAAGCAAAAGGAACAGTAAAGGATGCTTCCTTTCCTTAAGGATCTGCCCTACAATTTGTATCCAGTACTTCCACTTAAATTCAACTGGATAAGATTTGTTTCAATCCAAATTTTGTTACAAAAAAGCTGAGATTTATAATATTTTTTATTTGACAGGTAGAGGTATAGACAGTGAGAAAGAGAGACAGAGAAAGGTCTTCCTTCCATTGGTTCAACCCCAACCCACCCCCCAAATGGCTGCTATGGCAAGCGCTACACTGATCTGAAGCCAGGAGCCAGGTGCTTCTTCCTGGTCTGCCATGCGGGTGCAGGCGCCCAAGCACTTGGGCCATCCTCCACTGCCCTCCTGGGCCACAGCAGAGAGCTGGACTGGAAGAGGGGCAACTGGGACTAGAACCCGGCACCCATATGGGGTGCCGGTGCCTCAGGTGGAGGATTAACCAAGTGAGCCACAGCGCCAGCCCCTATAATATTTATTATTGATAACTTTGTACCCAACTAAAAACCAGTGACTTTATGTTTTAGTAAGAAGGGTAACTATATAGAGAAGAAGGCCCAGAACTCTCTACCACAGTTAAGATTAATTAACATGATTTTTTGGAATAGTTTTTTTCATTTACTTTAATAAGATTTCATAACAAAATATTCACATTTTTTCACTAAGAAATTTATAAGTATATGAAGTGAAAAGATCTGTCTTGTCTTGTTTCCTTATCCAATCTTTGTGATTAGAAAGAAAGAAATATAAATCAATGATTCCACATTCCTCCATATTTCCCATAACTCTGCAGTGTATATTTTAGCTTTCTATCTCTGGAAATTGAAACTAAAATTCAAAAACCAATCCAATGCTTTACTTGGTCCTCACTATTCTATTACCACTTTAAATTAATTCTTCATGGGTATAACACTTGAACTATCATTTTTGGAAGGATCCTCTGCATTGATTAATAGTGATATAATTTTGTTGTTACTGAACTCAGAAAACACTCAAAGGGCTTATGAAGTGCTTAGCAAGATGGGTCAGAGTAGATGAGTGAAAATTATACAGTCCTTTCTTTTCTGTAACTTTCAGTAGAAGGTAGGCCTGTTTTTCCCTTCATCTGTTTTTCTTCAAGAACATAAAATTGACCAAAGTGAATGGAGTATTTAAATTCTCTTGGAAAAGCTATAATGGAGGGAAATCATAATTTTTATAATTAGATTTTCATTGTACATTCTTCCTAGGCTGGCTGTGGGGGTAAACGAGAGAGAGAGAGAGAGAGAGAGAGAGAAATGGAATCAGAGACATCTTCAAAGTAACACTTTTTAAAAAATATTTATTTACTTTTCATTTATTTGAAGGTCAAGGAGACACAGACAGATGAAGAGATCTTTCAATTGTTAGTTCATCCCTGAAATGTCCATAATGGCTGGGGCTGGACCAGGCCAAAGTCAGGAACCCAGAACTCAGTCTAGATCTTGTAAGTGGTAGGGACCCAATCATGTCAGCCATTATCATTGACTCCCAGAGTCCGGGTTGGTAGGAAGCTGGATGGGAAGCAGAACCAAGGTGGCAGATGTCACTGATTAAAAAGATTTGGTGACTCATGAGTGTACACACACATCTACACACAAACTTTAACACTTGATACAGTCTTTGCTAAATAATCACACTGATAAAATGTCCCATGTGACCCATTTCCTAAAATGATAAATACTATATGACTATTTTAAGGAGTGATAGTTGAAAGAAAGATGTTTAGAACATTGTGCTCTTTCTCCACAAGACAAAATTTCCACATTTAAAGGAACTGAGCAACTCCATTTTCCTTGTTTATAGCCCAAGAGACTAAGGCTGATAGATGCAGCGGTTTGTGCTCCGTGTCCCATCAGGTCTGCTGTACAAGTTCTCAATCCAGTCTTCTTTCCTCTACATTTTGTGGCCATTGGCTCTGTCAAGTCCAAGCTGAAAGAGTCTTTGCTGTGGAATGCAATTTTTTTATTTTTTATTTTTTATTTTTTTATTTTTTTTTGGCCTGGGCTTCTTTGGCCTTCTTACTCCCTCTGCTTATGTGTGAGCATCTGAAAGTCATCATCCAGTGACTTTTGTCTTACTTTTGTTTGTCTTTGCTTTTGTCTTCTTGGAACCCAGAAGAAATTCCAGACCTCAGGTCACTGTTCTTTGCTTTCCAAAAGACAGAACAGCTCAGTCCTGATTGCCGCTTTTTCTTCTTCACTCTTGACAAGCTTATGCCCCAGATGAGCCTCCTGGTGATTTTCACCAACCAGGATGAAGCATTTAACTCTTAAATGCTGGATATCAGATCCTTTTAAAATTATTTGTTTCTAAGGGAGTGATTTTGCAAATAATTTCTTAAAGCCACAGTTTCATTTCTTCTAACACTTCCTTTAAAGGGGACTGTTTTATTTCCCTTTCGGTTTCTTAAAAATATTTTAAACCTAAAAATAACAGTTTTGAATACACCTTTACAAAATAGTTTACTAGGATCACTTAACTAATATAAAAATAGGAACGAATAATTGCAACTCTTATTAGAAAATTCAGATAATAATAAAGAGCATGATATGCCGGCGCCGCGGCTCACTAGGCTAATCCTCCGCCTTGCGGCGCCAGCACACCAGGTTCTAGTCCCGGTCGGGGCACCGGATTCTGTCCCGGTTGCCCCTCTTCCAGGCCAGCTCTCTGCTGTGGCCAGGGAGTGCAGTGGAGGATGGCCCAAGTGCTTGGGCCCTGCACCCCATGGGAGACCAGGAGAAGCACCTGGCTCCTGCCATCGGATTGGCGCGGTGTGCCGGCCGCGGTGCACCGGCCGCAGTGGCCATTGGAGGGTGAACCAACGGCAAAGGAAGACCTTTCTCTCTCTCTCTCTCTCTCACTGTCCACTCTGCCTGTCAAAAAATAAAAATAAATAAAGAGCATGATAAAAGTTAATGTTAATTTGTGTTCTGATTCCTTCATCAACACTTACATTGTGTTGTGCAGCCTTTTCTTTTCATTATCTGGACTTTTTGTTGTCATTATTTAACCCACTTATTCAACCAATATCTATAAATATTTATTTCTGTTCTACAGCTTTTCATTTTTTTCCAAACCTCCATGTAAGAAACTCCTCATGCACGACACTGTTAAGCAAAATAGATTGTATTGAGTACCCAGTTAAATATCTTTAGAGGATGAAATTTTGGGCAAGTCTTGTGTCATATTTAATTTGTTCCTTAGGATGAAGAAAGCTCATTAATTCCATTTATTATTTCTTAGTCTGACATATTTTTTAAAAAATCAGTCAATTGATGTTAGACTTTTTATATCACAAAGAAAAGTCATTGATTATGAAAGTTGAATGATCTGAAGTTCACCCAGAAATCGGAAGCACTTGGCCCCTCTGTAATGTTCTCTTTGTTCTCCTCAGCCTGCCAAGGCTTTGCTCTAAAATATCTGAACTTGAGTTGCATTGGTCCCATTAGTCTTTGTCAAGGAGGAAGTTTGGGCAGTGGTTTCAGAAATGGGTTGAGAAGGCAAATTACTACTCCTCTTTTATTCTTTTCATACTTGTTTCAAGGCCCACAGCCATCAAACTTCTCTGATTTTGTTCTGCCTGAGCCTCACATTTCCATATCTTTAAGTATGGTACTGCATAATAATTACAATACTTAAGAAAAATGGAAAGTTTTTAGTAAAAGTTCCTTGCAAATCTAAGATGCCATGTGAAAGATGCTGGTAGAAGGCCAGAGTATAATTAGCATTGCTGATAATTGTAATAAACATACATTTCATTTCCTTTTAAAGACATAGACATTCCATTTTTCATCTTGCATAACTCAAAGAAAATTTGGGTATTAACACTTCAAAATACTTTTATCTCAGTAGGGGGATATCTGAAGAGAATGGAATTAATATCCACATCAGTTCCTAAAGCAAAAAGCTGCATAACAAAGCTTTTCTCATCCTGTGGTAGACACTGATAGGTGAGATAGGTGAGAACTCCCCCTGAGAATCTGAACATATTAAGGAATTTCTTTCATTGTGGGGAAAGAAAGATGCAAAAAAATGGACTTCTCAGTTATTCTTACCTTTTAAGCTTGTCTGAGACTTCCTATAGGTGACAAGAACTCGCTCCCTGGCAGCCTACTCTACCCACAACAAAATCAAGAACCAAAAAACAAAGAGGATTTCCAGCTATCCCAATAGATTTCATAAAATTTGTACTCTCAAACCCTTTAATTTTATTCATAGGCAAGCCCCTCAATGTTTTATTTAAATCCTCTTTACTCTCTTCTTTTATGAGATTTATTTTATTTATTTGAAAGGCAGAGTTACTGAGAGAAGGAGGGAGGGAGAGAGATCTGCCATCTGCTGGTTCACTTCCTAAATGGCTGTAATGCCCAGGGAGGAGCTGGGAGCTTCATTCAGTTCTCCCATGTGTGTACAGGGACCCAAGGAGTTGGGCTATCTTCTGCTGTTTTCCCACATGCATTACCAGAACACTGAATCAGAAGTGCAGCAGCCAGGACTCAAACAGGTGCCTAAATGGGATGCTGGCTTCATAGGCAGTGGCTTAACCTGTTAGTCCACAACACTGGTCCAATACACTTTACTCTTTTTTTTAAGATTCTTTTTTTTTTTTTTGAGAAACAGAGTTACAAACAAAGAGGTGGAGAGACAGAGAGAAAGGCCTTCCATCTGCTGGTTCACTCTCACTCTCCAAATGGCTGCAATGGCCAGAGCTGGGCCAATCCAAAGACAGGAGCCAAGAACATCTTCTGGGTCTCCTGTGCAGGTGCAGGGGCTCAAGCACTTGGGCCATCTGATACTGCTTTCCCAGGCCATCAGCAGGGAGCTGGATTGGAAGTGGAACAGCTGGGACTCAAATCGGTTCCCATATGGGCTACCAGTGCCACAGGCAGATGCTTACCTACTACACCACAATGCCGGCCCCCTCTTTACTCTTAATTGACACACAATGCTAGTATTTTAATGAAATAGTTTTCAAACATGTAACAAGTTAGAAGTCAAAAGTGAGAAAGGTAGGCATTCCATAAAATAGGCCAAAATACTGACAATAACCAAACACTATCCTTAACTAAAAGAACAGTGATAGAAAAGTCATATGAAAATCTAAACCACAGTTGTATGAAGATATTTAAGGTAAGAGTCAATGTACTTAGCAGAGCTTTAGTCAACACTGTATGACTTCACAAAACAGCATTTTATTTGTACTATCATCAATTCAGATCATCAATGAAAAATATATTTGTGAGAATTAGGAACAGGATACTTCCTTTCATTGGTAACAAAATTATGCTGTTGATTTCTATTTAAATAAGATGGTTCACTTCCTTCTGCTGGAAAGTGTTTTCTCATAAATGTGCAGATCTACAATATCTACAGTCTGGGAACCCCTTCTATTTGGTTTTCTGTTTCCTGCATAACCTATACAATATGTGAGTGTCCTGTAATTCTTGTGGTCCTCTAAAATAAAGAGGTTGATGCAAATTACATTTTGGAAGGTTCTTCTCCCAAAATGTCTAATTAAATCAAGATGCTGAGGTATTTAAAAATGATACTCCACACATACTCTGTTCTTGTTCTGAATCAGAGTTAGAAGCTAGTGACTTCTCTGGGGAAAAAAATGTTCAATAGATCTTTCAAGATTGTGGGCCTTGATATTAGCTCTCTGGAATTTTCCCCTTTGAAAAATGTTCCTCTATCTAGCAGGTGCCAGCTTATACCTTCTGGTAGAATACTCTGATTTTTTTTTTCAATTACAAAGATCTCAAAGTGTTGGGATGTTTCATTTTGAAGTGGGAATCATTAACAAAAGCATGAATGTAGTGCACTTCTTACATGGGAAGAAGTCACCCACACTCACACACAAGATCTTGCCTCCATTCACCAAAACAAGTGCACTTCATGTCACAGACTTGTGCTAGTCCCACTGGGTAAAAGGGAATCTCCTGTCTCAATACTGAACTGGAACACGCTTCTTCTTCATTCATAATTAAGTCTGACTTGCTGTCTGGTGTGTAAACCTGACAATACCCAGGGCATCAGACTCATTCGGAATTTCAGTGCAGGTGGCTACCATACCTGTGGTAAGCCAGTTACATGGGCGAGCCAGGATTTGTTGACCTCTTTCAAGTTGTGACATGTGCCATGACTGCTGCTTCTTTCTTTAAAGCACCTCGAGTGTCTATCTACTATGCATGAGGCACTATGGGGGCACTAAAGATTAAAAAAAAAAAGTAATAACAAAGAATCTGCCCACAGAGAATTCACAGTCCAGTCCTGAAGATGGCGATTAGCCCTCCAGGCCCTGGGCAAAATGTCTGATAGCGCTCTGCTCACACCTGGCCCTGAAGGGCGATGCTGAACTCTCCCTTCTTCAGATTCTGAGCGGCAGCACCCCAGCAAGAAGGAGAGCCCGTCTGCAACCTTCCTCCATCTCCCTACGTGCTCAGAAATCAATTAGTGAGTATATGCTTTGTGCAAGAAGCTAAGGAAGTCATAAAATTAAACGCTTTTTTTTGCCATTCAAAAGTTTACAACAGAAATCCTAGTAGCTTTCTGGCAGGAGATGTGTTGAAAGGTGTTGCCACCAACACCTTTTCTGCAGGCCCCAGACTGCACCATCATCTGTGCCACATGTGTTGGTGTGACTCTGTATGGAGATTAAATGGTCAAGATAGGTTCCCTGCTGCTGAGAACTCAAGTAGCAGTTCCCAAAATTGCAGTTACTGATTTCAAATGAACCAAAGCAAATCCGAAGGACCTCTGAATTCGCATTAAAGATAGGAAGTCTACAGCCCCTAGCAGTCCAAAACAGTCATGACCACTGCTTGCTTCAGCAAAACCAACAGACATCTTCTTGTCACATGGCAGTGATCTGAGATTGGAGCCTGGTTCGATGGGTTAGTGCTTAAATAAAACCCAGAACAGACAACCAGAGCTAAAGGAACTCACCAAAGAGCAAAGGCAATACTCAAAAGGCATCCCATAGAGCTGTGATATCATTGCAGTTGAAAACACAGCTGTTCATTTGGTATTGTTCCCGACAAACTAGATGTTACTATTACTAAAAGCAGGATAGCAATACTTGAGTGTTGAGAATGATTTTGATTTCTCATGATTGCTGTGACCAACAGAATGAAAGTGATTTTATTCTCAAATTTGTGATACCAACTCTGCCATCTTATGGGAAACTCTAGAAATACTAAAGCATTTCATTATATTTCAAAGGCAAGGTTCTGCTGGTAACAGAACAGAAAGAAAAGAACATAGCACCTACTGTCTATTTCTATGTTTGTAACCTTTAACACTTTTACCAGCAGAATTCACTGTTTGAAAACCTTCCAGTCTTCAGTGAGTCTTAGATTACTTGCCAGCCAAGATGTCTCTCAATCTTGACACTGGAACTCAATGTAAAAATCTCAAATGATATTTTGTACTGATATGAATTTCTACTGTCCCGTGACACTGTGTGGTGACTTCACTGTATATTAACTTCTTTTCTACTGATGTTTGAGCTACCAGGTGAATTAATTGCAAAAGTTGAATCCTGTCAGGAACTATCTTAAATAATGTTGGTAGCCTGTGGAAAAAAACAATGAATGTCTTTCTTCTTACACAAACTGGTAATAAGACTTGTTTTCACAATTACTTTTTACATTTTGTGCATATAATAGCTATATATTATACTCATATCTGAAGTGACCAGAAAATATTATTTAATAGAAACTGCATACATTTTTTATGTCTCTCTGGACCCTTTGCTTCTGGGTGCATTTACAATAAATTAGCAGTAATAGACTATTCTTTTCAAATATGAATAAAAATGTACATTGATGTAGAAGATGATTGCTGTTTTTCATATGTTTTTCCTCATTATTACAGGTTGAGCATCCTTAATATAAAAATCTGAAATCCAAAAATGCTCCAAACTCAGGAACTTTTGAGTGCTGACATGATTCTACAAGTAAAAAATTCCATACCATGAAATTTGGTTTCATGCACAAAATTATTAAAAATGCTGTATGAAATTACCTTCAGGCTGTGTGGATAAGGTGTATATGAAACAAATGAATTCCTTACTTAGACTAGATCCCACCTCCAAACTATGTCATTATGTATATGCATATATTCCAAAACCCAAAAATCTGAATTCTGAAATATTTCTGGTCCCAAACATTTTGGAAGCTCAGTCAGTAGTACCTAGTGCAGTAAACTTGGACAAGAAATGGACTTTGGATTTCCCTGCAGGCTTCAAATTTCAGAAGGTAATCCCCTCTACTTCCAGAACAAAGAGAAGTCTCAGGTAACATCACTATAGAAAATTCAGTCCTTTCCCCAACGAATTTCCAGAGAAAAACCTAGGTAAACGCCTAGGGGACTTGCCCCAGCTCGCTGCAGACCGCATCTCTGGCTTTCCCTGTCAATGACCAACCACCTGTGGCCAAAGCGGCTTACTTGAGACCTCCTCTACCAAAGCAGGAACTGAAGCTTACTCCAACAAGCAAAGTGAAAACAACTTTTTGTAAACAATGAAGGTTTCTAAGATTTATTGACAAATGTGGGGATCACATCACAGAAAAAAAGCTTAGAAGCAGGTGTTGGGCACCAGAGAGAGAGTCAAGAGCCATTCTGAGCTCACCCTCTCGGATTGGGCTCCACCAGCCCAACCCCTGTGCCCCTGCCTGCTGTCCTGTAGCTCCCAGGGAGACTTTCTTCTTACTTCATTGCCTCCAAGTGAGGTTGCCAAAAATACTCTCTACCCCAGTGCAACCAAGGGGTAAAATCTCCTTTAACGTCACTGTCATCTCCACACACTTTCTTTTGTAGTTTTACATTTGGCTTTATCCCTCCTAAGCTTATTTGAGAGACAGAGATAGGTAGAAAGAGAGAGAGTGCTTCCATATGCCAGCCCTATCTCTAATGCCCACAGTGACAAAGACCCAAACTGGAAGCTTGTATTCCAATCTAGGTCTCTCACGGGGGTGGCAGGTAACCACATACTTGAGCCATCATCTGTAGTCTCCCAGGTTGCACATTAGCAGAAAGCTGGACTCAGAAGGTGGAGCCGGGAATGGAACCCAGGCACCCTGACATGGTATGCAGGCATCCTACCTAATTGTTTGGTGTCTTAACTGCCAGACCAAATGTCTGCCTCCACAGTACTATTTAAGAGAATACCATGTAATTTACATTATTTCACAGAACAGTTTACATATGACCTAAACAATCCTCAGTGGGATTCTATCCCCTGATTATCTGGGGGAAAAAGTCACTAGGATGAAACAATTTAAAATATATGAGAACTTCCTGTACTACCTTTTTTTTTTTTTTTTTTTTTTTTTTTTTTTGACAGGCAGAGTGGACAGTGAGAGAAAGAGAGACAGAGAGAAAGGTCTTCCTTTGCCATTGGTTCACCCTCCAATGGCCGCCGCGGCCGGCGCGCTGCGGCCAGTGCACCGTGCTGATCCGAAGGCAGGAGCCGGGTGCTTCTTCTGGTCTCCCATGGGGTGCAGGGCCCAAGGACTTGGGCCATCCTCCACTGCACTCTCTGGCCACAGCAGAGAGCTGGCCTGGAAGAGGGGCAACCGGGACAGAATCCGGCGCCCCAACCAGGACTAGAACCCGGTGTGCCAGTGCCGCAGGCAGAGGATTAGTCTATTGAGCCGTGGCGCCGACCTCCTGTACTACTTTTACAATTTTTTTCTGTAATTCTTTTTTGTTGAATATTCATTTATTTATTTGAAAGGCAGAGACACAGAGAGAGGAGAGCGAGAAAGCAAGAGTGAGAGCAAGAGAGAGAGAGAGAAGGATCTTCTATCTGCTGGTTCACTTCTCAAATGGTCTTAACAACCAGGGCTGGGCCAGACCAGCCAGGAGCCAGGAGCCAGGAGCTTCATCCAGGTCTCCCATCGGGTTCAGGGGCCCAAGCACTTGAGCCATCCTCCACTGCTCTCCCAGGAACATTAGCGGGAGCTGGATTGGAAGTGGAGCAACTAGGACTCGGTATGGTGCCCAAATGAGATGCCAACAGTGCAGGAGGAGGCTTAACCTTCTATGCCACAGTGCTGGACTCTTTTCTGTAATTCTAAAACTAAGTTTATACTGCAAAGGAGGAAACTTGTTTCAGTGAAATACTCCATGTTCTGTCTTTAGAGACACAGCACACATACAAAAATTATAGATGTTCTGTCCCATTTCCACTCATCAAAGATTGAAATATAATCTAGTCTCACAGGTTAGTGTTTGCCAAAGGGTTAGGAGGAAAGCACACTGTGGAGAGATTGTTAATGGATACATAGTGGCTTTCTGGGGTAGTTAAAATAACCTGGAGTCAGTGGCAATTGTTGTACAACTTTGTGAATATCCTAGAAATCACTGTTTTGTGCCCTTAAGAAGGTTTAAATAAACTATGTTTCTCTAAAAAAAAAAATCTAGTCTTACAGCATTTATCAACTTCCAAACAAAAGGAACATCTTTTGTTTTGTTTT